TGCCTAAAGCCTGCAAACCACCAACACACGCAGACTGCTGTTTCAAGGTCAGTAATGCTCACCAAGCTACTCGGCAATATAAGAATAATAACTGCTTTCCTCTTGAATCAAGAAAACCTTGTTTTTACAGACACAACAAATATAAATACCTATATTTGTTGGTTTTTCTCTTAGATCAAAGGGTTTTTTTGTACAAAGTTAGTAAAAGCTTTGAAAAAAGATTTGTTTCTGTCTGATCAGTTATTACAGATAACCAACATGGCAGAGAGAAAACTTTCGTCTGAATGCATTATGAAAGTAGCCGGCATACTATACCAGTGTCATTTTAGCCATCCAATATGTGACCAATCGACTTCTTTAGCAAAGTCAGTATGAAAAGCATACAGTCCACTATAGAGGTTAAACAATGCAATACAAGAATGGAGTGTATGAGTCTCTATAGGGGCTTAGCTGGAAGACAAAATATTAAATCCAACACTGGACAAGAATAACAAATGCAGTAAGCCAAACGCCATGCAAGTCCTTCTGCCCTGGCAACATGGTAACTAATGTGGATGACCAGGATGTTTCTTTCAATAAATTTCAGATTCCTTGTGTTATATAAGAGGCTACAAAGCTATGAGTCATCCCAGCTTCATAAAAAGATTAAATCAAACGACCATTAAACGTGAAGAATTCCCAGCACACACCTGCGCCCTTTCTGAAGAATGTCGCCCACCCAATTTTACCTCACACACACACACACACACACTGAGGTCGAACCATGTCCGACAAAGATTAGTGATGCCTTTCATAAATATGTTCAGTGCGTAACGATGCTTCGCGTAGAGAAAATAGGAATAATGTCACTGAACGCGTTTAACGGGGAGATGTTTAAAGGAGCCTAGCTTACTTCAGTTCACAGTGAACGCCCTTTTTCGCCTTCCGGAAAACAACGGAGCTGCTGGCTTTGCTCCTATTAACCGTCCGGTTTCAAGTCGCTTCATTCACAAATGCGTATTCGACACACCCACAAGCTACCCTCTTAAAAAAAAAGGGAGAGAGCGAGAGAGAGAGGCGAATACAAGAATGGACACGTTAACGAGCAGCAGATTGGCGCTGCTCATTCAGCAGACGCCGAACAAACAATGACTGGGCAGCGGAGCATCAATGACTTCCACCTACACCCCAGACAAAAAAAAAAAAAAAACGGCGACCAACGTGGAGCCCACAGCGACTTCATGACGTGCGGAGGGAATTCAACGAAGTCTTGGGAAACGCACATCAGCAGTAAAAAACGAACATTAGATGGAGGACTGACCTGTGGATGTCTTTAAACGGTGTCGCTCCTGATGCCACGGCCGCACAGCTGATGTTCTCTCCCGCTCATCCACGGGGTTTCCCTCCAATCAAACGCACAGCAGCAGGGTCTCACCGGGACGGATGACGTCAGGCCCATGTTGCTAGGTAACCAAATTTACAGGCAATTTTTTTTTTACCGCCTTTTGACCAATCGGAAATCTTTTTAGCTGAACTTCCTCTTTTTTTTTGTCTAAATAAAAAATATATATTGAAGGGAGATATTACACGCCCAAGTCTTTACAATATATTTCTAAGTAATAAATATTTAACAAAAATTTCTTATTCTCCTTTCAGTCTTTGTTAGCAAATAATGCCTGGGTTTTTTTCTTTCTCATTCACAGCAATGAAAAAACTGTTTACGTGGATATAAAGACGTAAATGGAGGAAAGAGACTTTGTGACAGAACCTTACTATGAATAATAATAAATAAAAACGGAATATAACTTAGAAAATGTTTTAGTTTAAACAATAATAACAGTAGCCTATAGAAAATGTAAAAAGTATGATTGTGATACTTGATATCATAATAATGTCATATTCTGAGCGTAAATGTAAAAGGGCCTAAGTCAGAATAAATTAAATTCTGACTAATTCTGACTAATTTGTCTGACTAATGAAAGATTTAGATACATTTAAAGCAAAGACATAGAACATAGGACAAACACTCCAGATAATGTTAAATGTTTTATAATATTTAAAAAATGTGCTATTTGTAAAAACTGAAGGCATCCAGAAAAGTATCGTGTTGGCCTGATCTACCTACTATTACTCAGACAGACTATCTTTATTCAAAAGCTGCTTGGAAGAAGCAGTGTTGATGTAGGACTGACCTGTGACAAAATCTAAGAAACAAAATGTAACCTAAATACTTTTTGCCCTCCCTACACACAGAATGGCAAGGAGAACTATTTCCCCTAGGACATACCTCTTTGTTTTCTTTATTTGTGCTTAATGGTTCTCAATATCCTAAAAATGGTTTTCTGACACTTTCCAGACTGGTTTCTTTCATGTTCTCAAATTTCTACCAAATAGAGAAATTAGGGAAATCAGGAAAGGGTAAAAGAGCTCTCTTTTTGATATCTTTTACCCTACTTCTTGTTGTCAGACAAGTTCATTGAGTGGTTTCTTGATTCTTTGTAAAAGCTTAAATTCAACCCCATGGCTACTAAAACTAAACTGTAAAATATCTGAGTTAATAACAGTCAACCTCTAACTGTTGACACAACACTTGTGAAGTGGGTCAAAAAAGAAAAGAAAAAAAAAACTAAAATTCAGAAAAAGGTACAAGACAGAAAATGCATAGAAAAAAAAGCTCTATTTGAAAGGAAAATAATGTTTCTCTATGTTCTGCTACACAATCAAACTTCTACATTCCATTTTAGGGCTTAGAAAATCAAATTCTATTGCATAGTATGTGTAAGAATGGTTTTCCCCTTTTAGCCCTATGGGAATCTATTGTTCCCTGACAGTCATGCCTGGGTTTTGAGGGGAACATAGGGCGTAATCATAGACACAGATCCTCTCTGTCAGAGTAGTAAAATAGTGAGGAAGTCTCAGAGTCATCAGCTGGGCCCCTGACTGGGTCAATGACTGATCCAACCTCAAGAAGTGAGACTCAACAGCGCAATAGTGATTTGTACTTTGGTTTTCCGAAGGGCGTGTCCTGGATTTTGAGGTTTGCTGAGGCAGGCAAGAAGTAGCTGGAAAATGACTAATGCTCCTCTGACATTGAAACAAGGTCATTCAAAAACAACACACAGAGGAATAATGTTGCCAATATGGAGCAGAATGTCTCCACAGATTGAGTTGCTTTTCTCAAAAATGAAGAGCACTAGCAGATTTTTGGTTTCATTACGACCACAGCTCAGACAAGGATCGCTGGCTGAAAATAGGTGCCCTATAGCCAAGGGAGAATTGTTTCACCTAATTATGCCAGCTATTTTAATATTTTTATCCACATTGCCCTCCCTCCAAACCCCCTGACTCCATCCTGCTTGAACACAAATTACCCTCAGGCCTTTTTTCTCCACGTTTGTGTGAATGACCAGGTGTGGCATTCTTTCATTCACGAGTTTATAGACAGGAAGGAAGGAAGTGGATTATGCTTGAAACAATGCAGGCAGTGATTCACAGAGTCGAGTCACTCAAACATTTAAAGCCACAGGCAGCGTAGCTTTCACCCTGTTTATTTGTTTCTTATACTGAGTCATCAGAAGGAAGGAGTTTTGAAGCCAAATAATTATGTACAATCTCTTGAAACGATGTCTTCACCTTGATCCCATTCACATTTTATGACTTCAGTGTTAAAATAAAAAAAAAATTTCACAAAAGTAATCTGATAAGTTTACGTATTTGTTTTACGTATTTAACAGATTGCAGAACCACATTTTGGTGCAATATCAGCTAACAACTTTGCACAAAGAAACTGACTTTTTTTACTCGGCTCTAATGTTCAAAGTAAGTGAAGATTTGAGATGATCAATCTTCAAGTCTTGCTACCTATTCTCAATTGGATTTATGTCTGGACTTTGACTGGGCCATTCTAAGATAGAAGTCATTTCACCAAAATCATTTAATTGTGTCTATGGCTGCATGTTTGAGTTTTTTTTTTTTTTTTGTCCTGGTTAAAGGTGAACCTCCACCACAATATCAAATTTGTTGCGGATTCTAACATACTTATGTTGAAGTTTGCCTTGCTCTACCTTCCCATCATCTCTGATCACATGATGAAAATACCATGTTTCACTGTCTCAGAGGGATTTGAAAACAGTTCAAAAAGTTGAATTTTGTTTACATGTGGGTAGAGAACTAGAAAACTGGCAAAAACCAGTTGTTGGCAGCAGCCTGTAAAAAGCTCTGGCAGAGTGGAGCTTTTCTGAACAGATCGTTTATGCTGCAGGTCGTGCCAGTGATTCCAGGCTCTCCTGGTCTGCAGCTGTGGCCTCAGCATGTTATTATAATTAAAGACGAGGAGAAATACACATCTTATACCAATCACCTTCTACTGCTACTGTTCCCTCATCCACTACATTTTTTTCTCCACAACCACGTCTCAAATGTCTGCTGTGCCCCCTACATTAGCCTGTTTAACAGATTACATTTCACCCCATTATAGTCAATTATTGTCCAATGTCAAGAGTTTAATGTTTTGAGACAATATTTAAACCTTTTATTAGCTGGCCTGATTAATTTGGTGTCACATTGAGAGGCGATAGAAAACCTAACATATTCATTTGAAAATGTCAGCCTATTAGAGAAACTTCATTGTGGCAACCTTTTGCATTTTTCTCCGTCGGTCAAGATCATGAATGCAGTGCTGGTCACTCTTCCCTGATGAATCTAATAATTAACAAACAAGGACAAAGATGGAAAGCCGTTTCAAACCCAACGTCTTCTTGCTGCCAACTGAATCAATGACTCAAGATAGAAGCTTGATGGATGCAAAAAGTGTTTGCTAAGGGTGATTCAGGCAATAGTTAAGGCAGAATAAGTATGCATTTCCATATTATTTTTCCTTGTGTTGATTGGAGAAACACCCACATTAATGAGCACTGTATAAATAAATCATTAACATGCAATTAATAAGTTCTGCCAGCGATGAACAAATGCAACCATTTGGCCAGATCTGTAAAAAAAAAGAAAAAGAAGCAAACAGCAGATATATAACAAAGTGAGTTTTAATAAAATGGTATGATACATTATTGGAGCATACATTCATTTTACAGGCACATTAATCTTGCCGGCAGTCTCCAATATAATTTCACTTCCTAACAATCTGTGTAGCAGCTTGGGCAGCTGGCCAAGTTTCACATTTTACAACCAAACATGAAATTCTGATTAGCTGAATGAAAGATTGCAGTACAGCAGGGCACACAGAGCTGTTGGAGGAATTACAGTGTGCAGGCCTCCGTTTGAGTAAAACACTCCCAAGTACAATTAAAATAAACTAGGTCACTTTTGACAGCAGCAAAGACAAACATCTGAATTTTCCACCCGAGCCAAATCCATTTTGCTTTGTTAGGACAGTCACTTTATCTCATCTGGGATGCAACGGGCAACAATTTATTGATCCTTAAAAGAGATACACGTACAAAACACGAAAGGCAGTGAGTCTGGGCTCATTGATCGTACACGTCTGCGTCGGCCCTGAAGTCAAAACCACGGTTGGATTGAGTCGTGCGTGTATTTAAACACAAGCTACACACAGGTAGCAGTAGACTGCATGAGGCTTTCATGTTGGGTACATTAAATCATTCTTTGCTGTCATGTTCAGAGCCTGATCAGCGCCTTCATCTTCAGTGTGGTTCATCCAAGTCGTTTACGCTTCCACGCCCTCCAACTCTGGGGGCAGAGGGGATTTGGGGTGCTTGCTCTCGAAGTGCTGCTTGAAGGTTTTTGGGTCGGGCATCTGGGACTGTGGGAAGACGATCAAAAATTAAGCTCATATTACGGAAAAGTTGGTTACAGCAGGTAAAAACTACATATTTTAGGTACTTTTTTTGCATACAAGACCATTAATGGTCTTAGTACAACTGATGTATTAGGACTCTCAGGTATTCTGGGAAGGATCTTCAGTTAAGATCTAAAGCGAGAGCTAAAATTGATGCTTTGTTTTGTTTTGGAACGAACAGTCCTTCTAAAGATTTAAGGGCAGCTTAGAGTGTTGATGTTCCTAAAACAAACTCACATCTTGGTCAATGTGTTTCACAAGCTATAAAGTCACCAGTAACAAGTGCAACATAAAGAAAGTTATAACATAAATCATCCAATTAGGAAAATTAGCATAATAAGAGCTAAAATATTCTGCTGAACTGAGACAGAAGACCTGACAATAGAGACAGTAATCAAACGATCAGCAGTCAGTTCAGCTCTAACATTCAACACATAGACAGGCTGTTCCACCACTAAGAACAGTCCGTCATCTCCACTTTACAGCTGTAACCTGGGAGTGGCTAACGGCAACTGATTTGTGGACCTTGAAGATCTGAAAAGAGACTAAGGGTTCAAAAGTCCAGATAAATACGGTGGCGTCATACCATTAGGACTCGAACTGGACCCTCCATGAACAAGAAGACAGTTCAGAAAGTATGTGTACAGGTAACTTTGCTTTACCCCTGTCTGAATTAAATGTAGCCTATGAATATAATTTGCTTGACTGATTGACATAATCCCCTCTGGTGCCAGACATACCTTGCAAACACTGCAAGTGAACACTAGCGCTGCCTTGGCTGCCGTCTTCTGATCGTGACCCTTGGACTTTTTCATTTCTGCCTGCTTCTTGGCATTTTTCTGCTGCGATTGAATTTTCTGGTGCCCGCGTGCCATGCTAGGGAAAACACAGAGGAAGGAGGAAGAAACGGCTCAAATAAGGGTGGAAAAATCATAAAGAACCAAAAAACCTGTGCGCAGAGTCAAAGCGGGAAGAGCTGAGCGACTGAGTAAACATTAGCATGATCCTAATACAGGGCGATCGGTGTACGCTAACAGGCTGGTTTCTGTAACAAATCTGAAAAGTAAAACGTGCTAACACCTCTTTTTTTTCTCATTCATGGTTCTGTTAAAACTGTATGTTTTGATGTTGCAGCTGCACAGTGTTGAACAGTTACAAAAACAAAAGATTGACCTTATCACGGTACATCTTGTTTTGGCTTCTGCGCCGCCTGGAAACCACGGCGGTGAACCTGCACCCATGTCGAGCAAATATAAATACTACTTCACCTTGACAAGATGTTTTTTTTATTTTAAACTATAAACAGTTGTTTTAAATTGCACAAATAGAAGGAACATGTTTGTCTGGTTGAACATTTATAAACCACTGAATTTTGTGAATAGGTGATATAAGAAGAACAGGTTCTGGCTTGTCCTGTGAGACATTACTTTGCAGGAATGCTCAGTGAAATCAGATAAGCCAGTTATTCCCATCCGACTTGCTCACAGAGGAGGTAAGCCTGTTAGTTTCTCCCTTGATAACCGCTCTCGGAGTTTTAGGATGTTGGTCTGAAAAAAAAAAAAAAAAAGAAGAAAAAAAGAACCAAACTGCAGAGGGAGGTGGACCGTATCAGCTTACATTTACTTAGGCTTTAGGATTTGAGGACCATCATCAAAGAAAATGGATTATTTCCTTGAAAAGCCACATTACTTTGCTACGATTCCTTCAGTTTCATTATTCTCTCACCGCTTAATATTTCTGCAAATGTCCTAAACTGCTCTGGTAATATTTTAATCTTCATAGACTTTACTAATTTCCTGTCCAGTCCTTGAACCGAACCATAGCAGCACATTATCCAGTGCGTGCTAAATAAATGAAATAAAATAGGACAAGTTATCCCTTTGTGTTTTGGAGCCATTTTTAGTAAGAAGGACTGCACAGTGTGGAAGTTGGTAGCACTGTTGCCTTGCAGCAAGAAGGTCCTGGGTTCAAATCCCACCCTGGCTCCTTGGAGTTTTAATGTTCTCCCTGGGTACTCCAGCTTCCTCTCACAGTCTAAAAATATGCACATTAAGTTAATTGGTCCTTTTAATTGCCTTTAAAAGAACTGGTTTATTTTTAAAAAATTACAATAAAGCTTACAATTTTTGAAAACCCAAAATGTAGCTTCTCAGAAAATTTATGTATGTACATGTACTGCTCGTGTATTCACGCTGGACATCAAGCAAACTGAATTATATGCCTGCTGCTTCTGCATCGTGCTTTTGCAAAGTTTTTCCGTTGTATAAACTTTCCATTAAAATACCTGAATACTCTGAGCCCGTCTCTTCTGCAAGAATCTCGTCGCTCTGCTGATGGGAGCAGTCAATGTCAGTTTTACGCAAGAGTGTGTAGCCTTAACATGACATTTCTACACTCAAAATCCCTTTTTGTCATCCAGACATCCATTGTTCATACTGTTTATATTGTTCACAACTTGCTCACTATCATTAAGGTGCCCTCTCCAGCAGTCGTCAGAGGCGGGGCACACACTTGAGAGGTTGCTTGACAGGCCAAGCAAAACAACAGTAGTACCAACCCTGCAGGTCTTATGTAATATGACACCCATCTGATTTCCACTGAACTGTTTACTTTTCTTTAAATAAAAGAAACACTTAAAATACAAAATTATGTGTGTGATGAATCTAAATGATAAGGTAAGGACTAAGGTAAACTTAGTCCAGAAACTAAATTTCACTAGTTTCTGGACTCTAAAATTACTTTATAGTTTTTCAATTCCATTCTAATTTCCTGATATGTACAAGAAAAAAAACACGCATCCTGCATTCATAACCCTCTTTTGAGTCATGCATTATGCAGACTGGAAATCCTTTAAAAACACGGGGACTTCTGCAGGTTTAGTCAGCATGAACATAGATTACCCAGTCTGCTTCATAACTTCTATTATTAGCCTTCTTGGCTGACTTAAGACCTTGTACAAAACCAAAGTTACATAGTTTGACTTTCTGTTGCTTATTTAATCAAGTACTGCAAGTACTTCCTCGGTCATAACGGGGTGGTTTCGGGTGTCTTATATTTCCAGGAGTTAACTATTTAGCATTCAGATGGGGACTTAGCAAGCACTAGCTAACTAATAGTCGTGTTTATTCATAAGCAGGCAACAACACGTTTCCAGCAACAACGCATTTAGCTTCTGAGAGCTGTTGTGGACCTAAAATACCTCGAAGTTAACGCCTTTTATATTTGTGTCGGTGTTAAACCGAGCTGTTAGCAGTGTCAGTTATTAGCTTCATGTGTGAAAACCTGGTTAACCACATGGAGATTTGACAGGACTCAAACCTGCCGTTAGCCATTAGCACGATCATCCTAGCACTAAAAGCCGTGATTATTTATAAAGAAAAAACACCTTACCTCACAAATATAGACGTACCTGTCGTTTGTAACTCAGAAATGTGACAGCTGCTGATTTCCCAGAGGCAAGAAGTAAACGTCAGTGCTGCGTTTAAAGACTCTCGCAAGACTCAGGAATGTCGACATTCACTCGTTCTACAACTTGTGATCTCACGAGAGAAATAAGAATAAAAAAGATTTCATAGAAGCTTATTTTCTCTCAAAATGATAAAATCGTCAAAACTATTCTCAGTAAAGCATCTCATGAATGTGATTCATAACAGAGATTCGATAATGTTGTTCTTCCTATGTTTTAAAGAGACAGTGAAAGCAGCGGAAAGTCCTCCGATGGAAATCGCCTTCCTGGGAACAGTTACATCGGTGAGGCAATGCTGCCTCCTAGTGGTAGAGTTTGGTTGTTTATACTAGATTCTGTACAAGAGTACCTTCATATTATAATAGCTATATTTCCATTTTTTCTGTCCTTCTGTTTCTTTTGTTTTGTCATTTTTTCCCCTCTTGAATGTGTAGCGATTCCTTCCGAACTATTTTTTCAACAGTGTTTGCTGGAGTATAAATAAATTAACAAATACATTTATAAATAAGACTTAATTAAAAACTTAAAAATCAACATCTTTTTTGCCAGCGGAGTACAACAAATATTCCAATATATTCCTATCATATTACTTTTTCTGATAAAGAAACTAATATGTAGTTAAATATTCTTATTTTATAAAAAAAATCTCACATTATAAACATCTATAATTTGTCTTTCACGGATATTTTCTAAACTCTAGAAATGATCAAAAATAGTGCTTCTATTTTAAGCATCACACACTATTTGTTTCTTTATTGGGGTAATTTATCAGTCAGAGCTCCACAGTCTTCTGTTTTTTTGGTGCTTTATAAAAATATTAATACCGGGAGAACTTGGAAGAAAAATGTTTGGATTCTACTGGCTTAGATCAAAGCGTTCTCTTCCATTAGATTGGCCTAGTCAAAGTCCGGACTTGATTTCAATTTAGGATGCTTTGCAGCCAGTCTGAGAGAGTGGGGGATATTTCGCAAAGAAGAATCAGGCACTATACGTAGCTGGTGGAGGTATACCCCTCAAAAATACTTGCAGTTCAAATTGCAGCGATGTATGGTTCTACAAAGATTGACTCAGGTGAGCTGAATAAAATAGCAACATTACAGTATCAATGTTTTTATGTGCTACAAACCTTTGAATGTCTGAATGTCTTGAATGAGACTGAAACATCTGAGCTTCCCGGGAACAACATTAGAGGGCAGCAGCGCCGGTCGACTACTGGCACAGCAAGTTGAAACTGACACTGATGGACCCCTAATATTGGAAAACCTCAATAACAAAACAGTCTTGTTCCAGGTAGGACTGGTAACCTTTGTTTTGAATGGCAGCAGCACAAACTGGACATAATGCAGCTCAGAGGACTACATTAGATTTTTATCTCATCCATCTGTGTGACTGTGGTTTTGGCCTGTGAGTGGGAACAGTGGAGCTCTTCATCATCTCTGCATTTGACTAAATTCAGCTAATATGTAAATAAAGCCCAGCTCCAGTTGTCACACGGGTCGGACAGAAGCAACCTGTCTGGATAAACATCAGAAATACTCTCTCAGGATATATTCGTATGATTTTTTTTTATTTATCTGAGGCCAATTACATGGAGCTTCCTGACAGATAGGTGTCAAGACTTCCTTACAGGAGAAATCTTATCATTGTGAGAAAACTCCCTCACCTGGCTCCTTGTTCTCCCCTCTCCCCCTCCACCTTTCTGCTTTTTCTCTCCTTTTGTCAACGTGGGGGCAAATATCTCTCAGGAGAGAAGGATGTGATTATGCTTTAAAGAACAGAGCCAAAAGTGGAAAAAAAAAGAAAGGAGGAAAGGGGTGGAAAAATGACAAAAGCCGCACATTGCTCAGGTTCCCCCTCCACCACCACCCGGCAGGATGTTGTGCAGGGACTTGCTTGCTTACAGGTTTGGGGTGGGGTTGTCCAGCCTTAGGGCCTGTGTGAAAACAAATCTCGCAGGTGTCAGCTATTGAGTGGTGGAGGAGAATATTATCTGACTGGCCTTTGTGGTTATGAATGAGCAGGGGCTTGCCGCAGACAAGCAAATTCTTTATCAATCCCTCCACCTCCTTTTTGATTCCAAGTTGGAGCCGTTTTGAGAGTTTTACAGAAGGCCACAGAGGCACCAAACAGTGCTGAATGTGACCTCCCTGCTTCTCTGCAGGCTGTTGAAGGAAGAGGAAGTCGGATTTCATCTTCCCCATCAGCCACTTCCTCTCTCTCTTTCTCTTTCGTGCTCCCGCTTTCCCTTTTTTTTTTTTTTTTTAACCCCAAACCAACAGGTTTTGCCACAGTTTGCTGCTGCAACATGCCACAATGCCGCCCGACCAGTCAGGCTGTACACAAGCCTTCAGAGGTCTGGCTGTGATGAGTGCTGCGCCCACGTGGAGGGGAAGAAACGCAACAAAAATAACGATCAAACCCTGTGGATCTGAGTGGACGACCTCTGAGCGGTTTGGTGTCATTAGTGAGAGGGCGAACCGTTCCTCCAGGGGGAGAAAAAGTTAATTCCTTACCTCAGCACACTCACAGTCGGTGAAAGAGAGGGAGAGGTGAGGTTTTAGGTCAGTCAGACGTGGGCTGGTGGGACAGAGGCTGATTGTGAAGATGATGACAGCTCACCGACAGCAGCGGCGCTCTGATTTTTTTGTGCAAGCCGGGGACTGTTTGTGGTTGAAGTCAGCAGGGTTTGAATCTAACAGACAGGGGCAACACAAATTGACGCATCTATAATATTAAAAACGAATTTTATGTATTCAATCAATTTTAGAACACATCAAATTTTGGGAGATTTTTTAAAGTGTGGTTCTGTTGAGATGTTGCAAGCAGTTAATGGCTTATTTGTTCTGCATGATGTGAAAAAAATTACACACAATGTGTTAAAATTCACCATCACGAACTGCAATATGTTTGATGGAGATTTCATGCAATCGCCATACAAAGAGTGAGCAAGTCGTGGAAGAAATATGAAACTTTTTTTTTAAATGTCTTCCTTGAGAAATAATTCATCCCCAGTCAGATTGGATCAAGAATGTAACATGAACAGAAGTTTTAAAGTCTGGAGAAGGATTCTCAATTGGACCCAGGCCTAGACTTTGACTAGACCATTCTAACATGTGAACTCTTTCATCTAGCCCCATTGTAGATTGCTCCTCCAAATGTATTCAGGCGATCGGTGGTGCACTGCTATGTGATGAATATGTAATGTTAAAATGATAATAGTTACAATAAACCGCTACATTAATGATTAAAAAAGCACACATTTATTTATTACTATTACTACACAAGACTGCTTATTCATAGAAAACGTATTTTTACTCTTAGAAAAAATATAACTTCAGCAAGAAATGAACAAAACTTGAGTTATGATGGTGTTGCTAAACCAAATATCACTAGATAGGTCATTTTATTTCTGAGAATCCTTGTTGCGATCTGATCTTCGCTTGGTGTTTATTCATAATCAAATGTCACGATCTTCATCTCAGGTTCTTATTTTCCTCTCTCTGAGCGAACTCTCCGCCCAGCCGCTACACATCACAGACGTCTCCGCCTCAGCTGTGAGTTTCTGAAACACATAGATGCAGAAACCTAATCCTGGCCAAGTCCAGACAAGCTGCTCCCACCGTGAAAAACTCCTGGTATGTAGGATACACCTTTCACCTCTGTCACGGAGCGAGCCTCACACTCACACACTCCCACTCGAGGAAAGGTAGTCAGAGGCCTCGTGGCCCTTCACTCTGCCTGTAACAGCTTGTTCGGGGGACCCTCTCCCTCTTTTAGCTGTCCTGTCGCCACATGGCAGGCGGACATTCCTGCAGACGTAGGTGATGCAGGGAAAGGAGGAGATAAGGGGGAAAGATTAACTGTATTTTGATTTTGCATAGCAATGCTTCTCTGTTTTTTTCTCCTTCCAAAGAACAGTTAACAATGCATCTCAGTATTTATGCATACCAGCAAAGCCAATGAGGGGGAAAGAAAACCTAAACCAGACTCAGTCACTTCTGTTCATTCTTCAGGGCCAGCTCAGACAAACCGAGCAGAAGGAAACAAGTCATCTCAAATATTTTTTCAACGGTTAGTTTTTTTTTAAAGCAACAACATAAAACTAATATGAAGAGAAGATGGACTACACCACTAATTATCTATATGCACTAAAAGATTTAGCATTCATCATTAATACTGCATAGGATTATATGCAGTGTTTCTCAAAATGAGGGTCGGGGGCACGCTTGTGATCAGCAAAAAAAAAAAGGTTGTGGTGCTGAGAAAACTTTCAAATATGAAATTGTGTTTTAAAATTAAACATAAAGGCATACATAAAAATGAAGGCCGCAGTAATGCAGATCCAAAGCCAAACAATATTTTAGTAAGACTGCGACAGACTGGCGACCTGTCCTGGGTGACCCCGCCTCTCGTCCGGGATGTTAGCTGGAGATGGACACCAGCACCTCCCGGTTCATCCATTTCTTACAAGGGTGTAAGAAAATGGATGAATGGATTTTAAACACATCTGTTTCCAATCTGTTTTTAAAATGTAGTTATTAGTGAATTCATGTGCATATATATATATATATATATAAACAGTTAACAATGTTAACAGTTAACAATATACATATTGTTAACTGTTAATAATCCTCCTTCATGCATGCTCAACACTTAATACTGTTTTTCAGTAGCAAGTTTCAAAATGTTTTTTTGGTCCATTTATGTAAAAAAAAAAAAAAAAAAGTCTGAATAGATGTAGAGCATCTGTGCACAACAATTTTCATCTTGCTTCATATTCTTAATCATATTTAAGTCTGGAATTTGACTAGGCCATTCTGACATATGATTGTGGTGTGAGAGGCTTTTGTATTCCTGTATAATCCATCTTCCCATCAACTCTGACCAACGTTCTGAAGAAGACTGACCCCTCATCATGATGCAGCCATCACCATGTTTCACTGTGGAGATTATGTTAAAAACATCATCGTTTTTTTTTTGTTACGCATAACGTTTTGCATATTGGCCAAAAGG